TGCACACCAGACAGAGACAAGTCCCCCCCCCCACACACACACACACACATACACACACACGCGCGCGCCCTCGTTCTTTGCCTCCCATCAGTTCGACTCATAAACCCAAACCATTCACAATCAATCAATTAACCGTTGTTCTTTCGAGAACACAGCAACGCACGAATCTTTGCAGAGCTGTTGTTGAATGAATGGAAGGGCTTTGTGTGTCGAAAGGACAAAAACTTGGCTGGCAATGCCACCATAAATGTCAATGTTTCGACACATCAATTACAAGTAACAGAGCGCCACTGTTCCGTTGAACCTTTTTTGTCATGGTCACAGTCACGTCGCCACTTTTTTGCTTGTCGATCCTTCCTCCCTTCCAACTACAGTGAAGGGGTGGCCGGAAACGGGTAAGCACTCACTTCAGCGCTTCACGCCCTTCGGCATACCCTTGTTGTCGTTGTCTGCCTCCTCTCAACACCTACAGAAGAACAACTCTACAACTCTCACCACCTCATCAACAGAACACATCAAACGCTCCATCCACAGTGCCCTGAAGCGAAGGTACAGAGGTACGTTGCCCTCTGTTTGCACCCTCGCCTGTTTTGCAGTGTGTGTTCTACACTCGTTCAAGCTTACACACTTAACGCGTGAGTGATATGTCTTCGTGCCGGTCTGGGTCGACTTGTCGACATCCTCGCAAGCATCTCTCACCGCTTATTGTTCGCTCCCATCCCCCTTTGCTTGTCGACACATCGGACAGGAACTGAGGAAGCCTGTGTTGTGCAAGCGTACGTGTTGCCGCGTCGACATGGCTTCCGGCCGGGGCAAATCGAAGAGGCCAGGGACAAACGTGGCAAGGCATATCACCAAACGAGAGCAGAGAGTGCGAGCGCAAGAGCGAATTCGACGCGAAAGCCAGCCACAACCACTGCTGCAGCCACCACAACAACAGCCACAACCGCAGCAACCACGACCACGGCAGCCACGCCCACAGCAACAGCCACAGCAGCCACGGCCACAGCCACAGCCACAGCAGCCACGGCAGCCACGGCAGCAACAGCAGCCACAGGAACGCCAACCGCCGTGGCCACGGCCATGGCCACAGCTGCAAGCGCAACAGCCACAACCGCGGCAGCAACCACAACAGCCACAGCCACAACCACGGCTGCGAAGGCGTTCGCGCAGGCGCAGGCCACAGCAACAGCAACAACAACTCGAACAGGCACAACAGCCACCCGAGCAACAACAACCACAGCCGCAACAGCCACCTGAGCAACAACAACCAGAACAACCCGAACAGGCACAACAGCCACCTGAGCAACAACAGGAACAACAACCCCAACAAGCACAACAGCCACCCGAGCAACAGCAGGAACAACACAGCCCTTTGTTCTCGTCGACCGGCGATGAAGGACAGAGTGTTGAACTTGAACATGTTGCCGACTTTGACGGCAACAGCTTGGCTCAGGCTGCTCACCAGTATGTGCTGCAAGCTGCAAAGATCCGCCCTTTCGCCGGTCTACTGCAAGACCTCAAGCTCCTGCCCAACTTTCACGACTTGGAGGAGCTCGAGACCAGGCGGGTGGTGGACAGCGTTCAACGCATGCTGATTGAAGGCTATCCTGCCACCTGGTCCTCAACAGCAAGCAGCACAAGCGGGGTCGACAGCAGCGACAGCAGCGACACAGGCGACAGCAGCGACACGGGCAGCTCTGCCAGCACCAGCGCCAGTTCCACTGGCACCACCACGAGCGCCAAGAGCAGCAGTATCAACAGCAGCTCCAGTATCAAGGGCAAGAGGGAGCAGGGTCAGGACAAGCTCAGCCGGGCTGCAGCCGCCAGCGAGCCCAAGGCTCCTCAACCCCGGCCAAACAAGAACAGCAGCGTCAAGCAGAGCGCCATCGAGCACGACGACGCTTCTCTAGCATCCGTTTGGAAGACCAGTGATGTTGGTGTGGATGCACAGGGCTCTGAGGGGTGGGACCAGGTCCATCGCGATGCTGTTGCCCTTCGTCATGCCCAGGCCTCTGAGCATTCGAAGGACGCCAGCGCGGCAAGCGGAGGCTGTGCGGTGCTCACTGGCGGCTGGGAGCACGACGCCAACATGTTTTTCCGCATCACCCAGGCCGCTCGCAAGGCGTTCCTGCTGCTGGAGCACACGGTGCGGGAACAGCATCAGCTGAAGGAGCAGATCAAGCAGCTCAAAGCCAAGGTTGATCTGCTGGAGGCCAGCTCTCCAGCGTATGCGAAGGCACTTCGCAAGGTCAATGATGGGCCTGTCTCTCCCTCCGCGGAGCCGTACTACCCCTCGTCCTCCTCCGCTAGCGCAGCATACCCTTCGTCCGGCTTGGCCCCGTCTCAGCCATCTAGCGCAGATGCGTCTGCTGCTGCGGATGGCCAGCACTCCAGCGCGATGCCCGCATCTGCAATTGCTGATGAGCAGTACTACACTCTTGCTCATCACCAAAGCCATATGGTCGCTTCTGCCAACGTCTCACCCCAGAGGAACAACCATCCGGGCCAACCGCAGTACGTGACCGTGTTTGCCGTCCACAACGAGGTGCCCGCCATGCCGTCGCAAGTCAAAGGCCAGTACGCACAGCCGCGCGGCTACTGGCAGAGGGAGCACTCCGCCTCGTCCGGGCTTGGGGTGTTATACCAGGCACCCGCCATGCAACCCGCGCAGCCGTCACCACAAGCCACGTCTATGATGGTTCACCAAACCCAAGCAGCGCCATTTCCACTTCCAGGCACAGCGGCACCAACACACGCACATGGACCGCAGCTGCAGCTGCAGACGGTGGCCCCCCTCATCACGGCGCACCATGCTCACTCTCACCGCAGCGGTGGCGGTGCAGACATGGGAAGCACCACCTCCAATCCTGGCCACGTGTTGCAGGAGCGGATTGCTCTGGCGAACCAGGCGTTGGCGCAGTCGCTTTCAGCCAGCGATACCACCGCGGCTGCCACTGCCGCCATCTCCTCGTCCTCGTCCTCTTCCTTGCCATCTTCTCGGCGGTCAGCTCAAAGTGACGAGTTGCTGTGGAGACGCAGTAACCCCTTCCATCAGCAGCAACAACAGCACCAGCAGCATCATCGTCGACACCTGCAGCAGCATCGACACTAGAGCCAGCGTGACACGAGCTTTTGCTGCGCTCCTGTTTCACGTGTTCTCTTCAGGTGTTCTCTTCAGTTGAAGAAGATGATCTGTCTGTCTTCGTGCTGGTGTGCTGTGTGCTGTTTGTCTGTGGGGTCCTCTCTCTGATTTCTGAATGCAGGAGTGAGTGCCGTGAAGGAATGCTGGAATGAAGTGATTTGTTGCTTTGTTGCTTTGTTTTTTTGTCTTCCTCCCTCCATTTCAGATTTCAGCGTTCTCATCTGTCCGTCTGTCCGTCTGTCCTGTCAGTCTCCTAGTCTCAGTGTTGTGCCTCAGCCTCCCCCGTCTTGCTTGTACTTCGGCACGTTCGTGCCTTGGATGGTGTACGCTCAAAGGCTCACTTCAGCACTCCAGGTGTTGCTGACTGACTTGTTGCCTTGTCCTCTGCGCTACTTCATGTCAGTGATCTTGGGGGGGGGGGGGTTGTATGGTCTGGTGTGGCGTTGTTGCTTTGGTCCTTTCGTGCAATTTGTTTCGCCAAAACACAACAAAGCAAAGCGTAACTCCCTGCCACCAACAAACACGTGACAACCATCCATCCACGTCGTCGACGTCGTCCACGTCCAGTCCACGACTCCTGTAGCAGTGCAGCAACCAACACACACACACACACATACGCACACAGCTGCACGCCCAGCGATCATCGCAACCATGAGCTCCACGTCAAACGTGCGATGCAGATACTTTGTGCACGGGTAAGCCAGTGTGTGTGTGTGTGTGTGTGTGTGTGTGTGTGTGTGTGTGTGTGTGTGTGACTGCCCGCTTGTGTGTGACTGCCCGCTTGTGTGTGACTGCCCGCTTGTGTGTGACTGCCCGCTTGTGTGTATGTGCGTGTGTGTGACTGCCCGCTTGTGTACCCGCTTGTTTGTTTGACCCTGTAGCTCAGCTTGCCTTTTGCGATTTGGTGGTTTGTCGCGATCCTGTTAGGGCATGCACACGAGGCGAACAGTGCCCCTTCTCGCACGACATGGCCGCAAAGCCAGACAACACATGCAAGTTCTACCTCGCCGGCTCCTGCCACTACGGTGACAGGTGTCGCTACGACCATGTCCGCCCGAAGAAGAAGACAGCGTCACAGTCCAAGAGCAGTGCCGCTGCTGCTAAACGGCAACGCCAGCAGCCCGCCACAGCAAACAGTCGTTCGCAACAGAGCAGAACGAAGCAATCACAACAACAACAGCAACAACGGTCAGCAAAGGCCACATCACAGGCCACAGCCCCACCTCCATCCTCGTCTCCATCTTCTGCAACAACGAAACCAACGAAACCAAAGACAAAGGGGGCCACAAAGACAAAGACAAAGGCAGCGTCAAAGGGGAACGCATGGAGACCTGCGCCGGCTGCAAGTGCAACCACCAAGGCGTCCCAAGCAACACCAGCAACAACAGCAACAACAACAACAACAGCAGCAACAGCAACTACAGCGCCCACAACAGCGATACAGCCACCACCAGCGCAGATGCTGGCACAGATGTCGGCAGATGCGCCCGAGTTTGTGCCCAGCTCATTCATGCCACCACCCACGATGAACGCACCCACGACGCCCACGCCCTTGCTGACCCTCACTTCACAAGCCCCAGAGTTCCACCCAACTGAGCAGCAGCAGCACCAGCAGCAGCAGCGACAACATTCGGCAGTGCCAGGCGTGGCAACGCAGCAGCAGCAGCAGCAGCAGCAGCAGCAGCAAAGGTCGGGCAAGCTGGGGCAGTTGCCACCGAGCGTGCTGTCGCCCACAGTACCGCCCGACAAGGCACGCCGCATCAACGCGGACTGGCGCACAAAGGAGCTCAGCTCCACCACAATCAGGGATGCGCAGGGGAAGGTGGTGAGTGTGGCCAAGCCGCGCAAGCACAAGGCAGCGCCCCCACACGTGCCCGTCACCGCCGTTGCTGGGCAGGAGCCAGGCAAGCTCTTTATCGTGGTGAAGAAGAAGGCAGCGCGCAAGGCCAAGGCACAGCAGCAGGAGCAGGAAGAGGGTGATGCCAGCGGCAGTGCTGGAGATGGTTATGAGCAGCACGACCAGCCGTCCCTCGCGTGGGTCAAAGCGCCCGCAGGTGTCGACTACCAGCAGCACCAGTACATGCCCGCATACCCAACACAACGTGCGTTGTGTGTTCTGCCTCGTGTGTGTGTGTGTGTGTGTGTGTGCGTGTGTGTGTGTATGTGTGTGTGTGTGTGCGTGTGTGTGTGTGTATGTGTGTGTGTGCGTGTGCATGTTGCATGCGTTCGTTGTACACTCCAGCCTGTGCCGTCCAACGTAACCCCATCATCATGGCAACTGCTCTGCTCATCATGACCACTCCCCCACCATCACCATCACCACCACCATCACCACCAGCGGTCAACTATGCCCACGCCGCCCGCGCAGCGCTTGAAGGCGACGAGGCCCTCGAGGCAGTGAGTTCTCCTGGCGTGTGCTGTGTCGTGTGTGTCGTGTGTGCGTATGTATGTGTGTGTACTTGCATGTGTGAAAACTTGTATCTGTGTGCGTGTTGCGTGTTGCGTGTTGCGTGCTTGTGTGTGCGTTGTTTTCACGCGCAAGCTGAGCTTGCACTCTACCACCACCACCACTACGACTCACTTCTCGACCCCACCCTCTCCATTGCCTGCTGCTGCTCAGGCGCCGCTGTGTCCTGCTGGCGTTGCGACCGGCGACTGCCTGGACGAGGAGTGTGCATATCTGCACGGGATTGAGTGCCCCGTGTGCCACCTGCTGGTGCTGCACCCGTATCGCCCCGAGGAGCACGACGCCCATGTCGACGCGTGCGCTCGCAAGCAGGAGCAGGAGAAGAGGGTGTGTGAGTGTGTATGTATGCATGTGAGTGTGAGTGTGAGTGTGAGTGTGAGTGTGAGTGTGAGTGAGTGAGTGTGTGTGTGTGTGTGTGTGAGTGCGTGCGTGAGTGCACATGTGTGTATGTGCGTGCGTGCATGTGTGTGAGTGTCCCTTCTCTCTCGTGGTACGAGTGCTCATCCCATGTTCCCCACACCCACCCCACCCCTCACAACACGACACAACACGGCATGGCAGCGGCGGGCGAAAGTGAAGGAGAGCAAGGGCGTGGAGTGCTGCATTTGCCTTGAAGAAGTCCTCGCAAAACGCGTCCCCTCTGACAGAAAGTGTGTTCACACTTGTGTGTATGTATGTATGTGTATGTGTGTGTGTGTGTGCTTATGGAGTATCCTTTTGGTGTGCTATTGTTGCGAGCCAATTCTTCCAACCTCGCCCTTCCATTGCTGTCCTGATTGCACGTGACCGCACTGCAACCCATCACCCGCTCTTGCCTCACCACGACCATCATCACCACCACCGCCATCACCACGACGACGATAGGTTTGGCATCCTTCCCAACTGCAAGCACGCGTTTTGCCTGCGCTGCATTCGAAAGTGGCGGCAGCATTCGGAGCAAGGCACCATTGTCCGCCAGTGCCCAATCTGCCGCGAGCGCTCCTTCTTCGTCGTCCCAAGCAGGTGTGTGTGTGTGTGTGTTTATTTACGTTGGGCACGTATGTGTGTGTGTTTGTTTGTGTTTGTGGCGTGTGTTTGTGCGCGGCTTTGTGCATGTGTGCATGTGTGCATGTGTGCATGTGTGTGCGTTTTCATTGGTGTGGGTTTGTGTGCAAGTTGCATGTGTGTGCATGTGCTTCTCACACACGATTGTTTGCTTGGTGGCAACAGCTTCTTTGTGACAGACGATGCAGAAAAGGCAGCCCTCATCGAAGAATACAGGTGTGGATACGCGAGCGTGTGCGTGTGTGTGTGCGTATGCGTATGTGTATGTGTGCGTATGTGCATGTGTGTGAGTGTGCGTGAATGTGCATATGTGCGGACGTGAGTGCATATGTGTGGACCCTCTTCTAAATCTCTTCTGTCACACCGTGCGTGTTCGTTCACGTGCACGTGCACGCACTCTTCTCAACCCGCCATCATTGCCGCCACCACCTCTGCAACTACTGTTGTTCGTGTCGTGCTGTGTGCAGGGAGCGCCTGTCCAAGCTCGATTGCAAACACTTTGACTTTGGTCGTGGGGACTGTCCCTTTGGCGACTTTTGCTTCTACCGCCACGTGACCAGGGTGCGCATTGAGAGAGAAAGTGTGTGTGTGTATGTGTGTTTGTGTCGACGTGCGTGTTTGTGTGCGTCCTTTTGCGTGTTTCTGAGCGTGTGTTTCTGGGTCGATCTGTTTGTGTCTCTTTTGCACACACAGACACAGACACACACACAGACACAGACACACACACAGACACACGCACACACACACACAGACACACGCACACGCACGTGCGCGCGCGCACACACACACACACACATGTACACACTTCTTTGTCTCCCCACCACCATTTCAAGTCCTCTCTCCCACGTTGCTCACCATGTGCCCACAACCCTTCTGTCCCTGTGCCCCAATACACTGCGCTCGTAGGAGGGTGAGGCTGCGGTGAGCGGGAAGCCACGGTACATCACGTCGGCTTCTGGGCGGGCGACGCGATTGCAGAAGGTGCGCCTGAGCGATTTCTTGCAGTTCAGGGAGGATATGGCGCAGCAGATGGAAGAGGACAACGACGTGGACGTCGGCATCTGAGCACCTCGTTTGTGTGTGTGTGTGGTTGTGTGTGTGTGTGTGTGTGTGTGTGTGTGGTTGTTTGTGTGTCTGTGTGCGGGTGTGTGTGTGTGTTTTTGTGTGTTTGTGTGCACGCGTTCAGTGTTGGGGCCTTTTGTGGCTGTGTTCTTTGGCACTGCGTTGATGTGGTGATGTGACATGCCCCCTCAGTATGTTGTCGTGAATGAACCATCAACGTAAGCAAAGGGCCAACGCAGTCAGTGACATGAACACGACCAGTGAACAACCTCCTCTCACGCGCACGAACACAACCTCAACTCGTGCACACGCACAACAACAAGAAACACCAGCAGTTCGTTTAATTTTCCCAACCCTTCTACAGGATTCGATGCAATTTTAATGGGCGACCTGACTGACAAAACCCAACAGCCCGTTGTTGTCGGTTGCCACCACCACCAAACAACACCACACAGATCAAACCTCACCACCACCACCACCGCCACGAGAGGAGAAGCAGTAGCCCATATCGTCCCGCCAAACGCAAACAAGGTACCATGTGTGTGCATGTGTGTGTGCATGTGTGTGTGTGCATGTGTATGTGTGTATGTGTATGTGTGTATGTGTATGTGTGTTGAAGGTACCGGATGCAAGTAGTGTTGCATCTCACCTCATCTCATCTTTCTACTTCTCTCACCCCATCTCACCTCATCTCATCATCTTTCATCTTCGCTCACTCGCGCGACATGCGTTGCAGACGGCATGACGACGCGTGGGCCATCGGCGAAGACGGTTCGCCAAGGCAGCGCCCGTCGCCGTGCACCACCACCACCACCACCACAGCCAACAACCATCCCGTCGTCCTCGTTCTCAACAACGGCGCCAAGCGGGGTCATCGGCCAAGCAAGTGCGTCACTGCGTTAGGGCGAGAGAGAGAGAGAGAGAGAGAGAGAGAGAGAGAGAGAGAGAGAGAGAGAGAGAGAGAGTGTGTGTGTGTGTGTGTGTGTGAGAGACAAAGAGAGAGACAAAGAGAGAGACAGAGAGAGAGAGAGAGCGAGAGAGAGAGAGAGGAAGGTGCATGGAGTTGGTGGCAGACACCGCTTGCTCGGTTTCCAGGACGGGAGCGCACTTACTGTGACGGCGGATTTGTCACGCATCCCTTGTCTCGTGATGCGGGCGGTGCGGGCGATCTGCAATACAATGCTCACATATCATGGCATTTGTGTGTGTGTGTGTGTGTTTGTGTGGTTGTGTCGTTATGTGGGGTTGTGTGGGCTTGTGTGTGAATACGTCTCCCTTTGCTCGCGGTCATGCTGTGTGTGTGCAGTGGACCCACTCAACTACAACCCGCTTGAGGACAAGTATCTCTCTGGCTTCCTCAGCCGTCCACACATGATCAAGCACCTCCAAAAGGCCGGCCTCATCACCAAAGATGGTGCGTGTGTGTGTGTGTGTGTGTGTGTGTGTGTGTGTGTGTGTGTGTGTGTGTGTGTGTGTGGCGTTAATGGGACACAGCGGCGAATGCAGCCCCACTCGTTGAAGGTCCGTGCCTCATTGATGCCTGTGGCCCCTTCTTGCAGGCATGGTGCGTACGGAGCGGGAGGTGAAGAACCTGTGGCTGCAGCGGGAGCGTAGCCGCGATGGTGATGACACAACACGGCCCCATCACCGCAGCCACCGCCATCCCCGCGGCCATCGCCACGTCTCACACCGATCAGCGTAAGCGTATGTGCGTGTGTGCGTGAGTGCGTGCGTGCGTGCGTGCGTGTGCGTGTGCGTGTGCGTGTGCGTGCGTGCGTGAATACATGCCGTAGATGTGCACACAATCATGTGCCTGCCTTCGATTTGAAACAGCGCAAGTCTTGACCACACCGCACCACCTCACAACACCGCATCACATCATGTCACCTCACACTGCGCTGTGCAGATCGCTGGCCAGTCCGACGCGCGGCCGGCTCGACAGCGACATCTCCACAGCATCGAGGTACCCATGCTCCCCGTGTTTGACTGGGGGGTTGTTTTCTGCAGTCATTGTCATCCCCTTCTCATATCACCTCACACACACACACACAGACTCTCTCTCTCTCTCTCTCACACACACACACACACACACACACTCACACTCACACACACACACTCACACACACACACACACATGTACACCTCCCACCAACACAGCGCGTTTACGAGCCGCTCCCCGTCTCCGAGCAATGCAAGCGCAATGACAGATGCGAGCGAGGCTGTACACCCGCGCATCATCAAGTCCTCCACGCTGCCCGTCGACAGCGAGGGCCATTACCGTGGCTCGCGCGGCAGCCAGAGCGACACGCTGTCCTCTTCGTTCACCAATGACGACGACGACGACGACCATGTGGATTACAATGATGATGGTGATGGCCACTACGACGGTCGTGATGGTGCCAGCGATTATGAACACGGCACCAGCAGCCGCCACCACCTGTCCACCAGCGATTCCCACCATCACCACCAGCAGCAGCGGCAGCGGCAGCAGCGTGATGACGGCAAGGTGTGTGCCAACAACACCAGCACGAGGTCGCTGCGTCGTGGCGGCGTGCGTCCGCTGTCTGACCGCCCGCGAAGCGCTGCAACGCGTGGAGCCGTCGCCACCACAACACGCGCCACCCGCCCAAAGTCATACCACCACCACCATCAGGAGCGTCAGCAGGAGCGTCGTCATCTTCAGTTTCAGCGTGACCACCGCATGCGTCCGCGTATGGGCCATGGCGTGGCGCATCCAGCGCCGCCACCGCCACCATCAACAGCTGCATCGGCGCACCACCGCCTGCATGAGTCACGTGGGCGCCGCCGCTTGCCGCCGAGTCCCTCCTCCCATCGTCGCCGCCTGCCTGCAGGCAACGCCATGTTCCGCAACACCACCAGCAGCGCCAGCAATGGCGGCAGTGCTGTTGGGCGGTCGAGAGGGCGTGTTGTTAGCGCACGTGGAGGGGCTTCCTCATCCATTTCCGCGCCAACACCACGCCTCGCCGCCACACAGTCATCCATGTCCGTCGCACGACGTACGTACACGCGCATGCTTGTGTATGTTTGTGTTTGTTTGTGTGTGTATGTTTGTGGATATGACTGTTAGTATACTTATGTGTGTGTGCGCGCGTGTGTGTTTGTGCATGTTTTTTTTTGTGTGTTTGTGTTTGTATGTGAGTTTGTGTTTGCGCCATACTTAGTTATTTACATGGTCAGAGCTGACTTGTCTGTTGCATTCTTAATCGCACTTGTTCGCTTCATCGTCCTCATGTTTTGTTGCACCGCCACCATGCCACCACGACAAATCAACGAACCATCACTCAAAACCCCTCTCCCCACCCCCTTCTTCAACAACATCATCATCACCACCAGGCGAGCAAGTGCAGACGTCGGCTGTGCTGAGTAGCAGCCGCTCCCTGGCTGCCGGCCTGCGCACAACAGCCGGCGACCTCACTCGTCGATACAAGCAGCAGCAGCCAGCCACCATGACGTTCCAGTTTCTTGGCGCGCGCCAGCTGGGTCGCGATATGCTTGCAGGCATGGCCACCGTGCATGGCGTCAACGCCCAGGCGCCAGTGCAGCTGGTTGTCAAGCAGCAAGTGGCTGCGTCGTCCGTGGTGGTCCTGCGCCAGCACATTTTGCCAAATGAAACGTTTAGCATTCAGTCGCGCCGCAAGCCATCCCAGGGCCTGGGCCTGGTGTTCATTGCCAACGGCGTCACGCTCGCACGCCTCTCCTGCTGCTGTGAATACAAGCACGCGCCAGGTGTGTTTGCTTGCTTGCTTTTGTTTGTGTGCTTGTGTTGCTTTGTGTGCGTGTGCTTGTTTGTGTTTGTGTTGCTTTGTTTATTTGTGTTTGTGCGTGTGTGTGTGTTTGTGCGTGTTTGCAGAGCAGACCTTCCCCACATACGGTGATCTGACTGTGTCTCACAACTGCACATGTCCATGAAACGCCACCTCCTGTCCCCAACCTCTTTTTATATGACCCTTTTCCTGTTTCCCGCGGGTGGCAGGCACGTATGTGTGCCAGAAGTCGAGTGGGCTGCGGCTACTGCACGTGACAGGCGGCGGACCGTGCCTCCGGTGCCGCGTGGACGCGTTCATTGCCAACGAGGACCACAAGTCCCACGTCAACAAGCAGAAGCAGGTGCGGTGTAGTCGTGATGCATGCTGCGCAGTCGTGGTGGATTGGTGGCAGTCCGTGAAGTGCGAACGCACATGAGATTGATGTGTGCAGTGTTCTGAGGTCGTTTGGCACATACATGTGCCTAAATCACATCCACGCACACAGACACACCCACACCCACACACACGCACACGCACACAGACACCCAGACACACATAACCCCACATGAGCATCATGTACCTTCTCGTTCACTCACACATGCACTCACACACATGCATGTTTATGATCACGTTTGCTTGCAAGCAGGAGCGCAGCACGGTGTCGACTGTTGCTGCAGAGGCGGAGGACATGGCAGCGCTGATGGACGCAACGCCCCAGCCCACGGGCGCAACGGATGATGAGGATGATCACCATGGTCGTGATGGTGATGGTGATGGTGATGGAAAGGAGGGAGAGGCAGACGGTGAAGAGGACAAGCAGCAACAGGCGGGTGCTGCTGGCGATGGTGAGCATGGCGATGACTACGATAGTAGCAGCTGGGACAGTGCAAGCGACGCAGACGATGATGAAGCCGACCGGGATGACGGTGATGATGCGGCCGCTCGAGCTGACAACACAACGCCAACGCCAGGTGAGCGTGTGTGCTTGTGTTTCGTTGTAACATCTCATGTTGTTGTTGTTGTTGTTGTTGTTGTTGGCTTGTAGCCGTCTGACATTGCTTATTCGCAATGTACGTCGCAACTCATCCTCACAATTTGTCTCAATCGGGTTTTCACGACATCCTCACAACTACCCTCACCACCACCACTACCACCATCATCACAACTGCCATCACCACCACCACCACCACTACCATCACTGCCGTCAGCCTCTGAGCTGCTGCAGGACGTGTGGGTGAGCGGTGGCCGCGTGCACTCTGCCCCGTCCAAGGACGTGCAAGCAGCTGTTGCCACCACAAAGCCCGATGCTGCTGATGCTGCTGATGATGGTGGTGGTGATGGGTATGGGAGCGATGAATTTGAGGATGATGATGATGACAATGATGACAATGCGGGTGACAGCGATGATGATGGTGATGATGGTAATGACAGGGAAGAGGAAAGGGAGGATGAGGAGGAAGCAAGTGCAGATGCAAGCGAGGAGAAGACGGAAAAAGAAGACACCACCTCACCGGATGATGCCCACAGCGCAGAAGCGCAGGAAGAAGCCGCCACCACCACCACCACTGCTGACGACGATGATGGTGAGGAAAGCGCATCAGCCAAGCAGCAGGACGGAGAAGAAGCGGAACAAGAAGAGGAAGGGGAAGAACAGAACAAAGAGGCAGAACAGAACAAAGAGGAAGAAGAGGCAGAACAGAAAGAAGGGGAAGAGAAAGAAGAGAAGGAGCAGGGAGACAACGGTGGCAGCACGAGCAATGGCAGCGAGGATGCATTGTTGCCGTCGCCTCCTCCCGTTGCTGCTGCAGTGGATGCAGCTGTTGCTGAGCGTACGCTGGGCGTTGTGGACCGTGACACGCTGCTGTCACAGGCGCAGGCGGAACAAAATGCCAGCTTGCTCAGTCAAGCAACGGTCCTGCGCAGCGTGGAGGAGCAGCACGCCCAGGCACCGCCCCCAAATGACACGCACATCACCAAGGAGGACTCACAGCAGGCGTTGAAGCAGCTGCCGGCAGCCATGAAGCCCAAGCCAAGCCCACTCAAGGTGTTGCCTGCAGGCAGCAAGCGTGCGCTGCCACGCCCACCTGACAACCCACGGTTGGGTGCGCGCGGAGGGCAGGACACGCGCGCGGCTGTCATGCGTTCCCGCTTCCTCAGGAAGGCGAACCACGTCACCGACGACGACGGTGCTGACGCTGCTAACGCTGCTGATGATGGTGACGGTGCTGATGATGGTGACACTGGTGATGCTGCAGTCGAAGCCAGCAAGCAGGATGTGGTGACGAAGGAGAACCAAGAGGAGAAGCAAGCAGCCCAAGAATCCACTGAGGAGGAGGAAGAGCAGAAGCAGGAGGAGGACAGCGCCCCAGCACCCGTTCGCTTGACATACGCTCAGGTGGCGAAGAAGCCAGCGACAACACCAGCACCAACACCAACACCAACAACGGCTGATGACGACAACACGGCTGAAGACGAGGCACAGACGACAGCGAAGGAAGTGAAGGGTGACGAGCAAATGGAGAAAGAAGAGAACAAGGAGGAGACGGCCCCAGCCGATGAGTCGATGGCTGCTACTGAAGCGACTGCAGAGCAGAGTGAACAGACCGAGACGGACAAGAGCGCAGATGAACAGCAGGCGGGGAGTGCGGAACACAGCGAGGCTGCGAACGCGCCCTCTGCGACACCCAGCGAAGACAACAGCTTGCCGGACGACGCAGCAGCAAAGGAGACTGATGCTGATGATGGCGCTGGTGATGCAGTTGCTGCCGCCGATGGTGATGGTGTGAAGCGTGATGACGACTTGTCCAACGTGAAAACGGAGGCAGAGCAAGGCGAAGAAGTGGCGAAGAAAGAGGAGGAAGAGGAGGAAGAGGAAAAGACAGAAGCTGCTGCCGACAGTGGTGCTGGTGATGGCGACAAGGATGCGCAAGACGAGGAAGAAGGTAGCCACGACGCTGCCGCCGAAAGCGAAGGCAAGCAAGATGCAGACGAGGAAGCACATGCCACTACTGGTGCAGTCGGTGATGCTGCTGAAGAAGAAGAAGAGGATGATGATGATGACGAGCCTGTGTCTGAGCCGCCATCACCACCTCCCACGACGAGTGCGGTTGCCAGCGGTGGTGGTGGTGACCTGGAGCTGAACGTGTCCACAGTGTCATGGCAGGAAGACGGCGAGGCGTCAGAGGCGTTTGACGCACCGCCACCGCCACCGCCACAGTCCCAGCCAGGCGACGAGGGCACGACAACACCAGCAGCGACCGGCAAAGACAGTGATGGCGATGACGACGGCGATGATGAGCTGTTGGCTGATTCGATGGGCGACGTGAGCGTCATGTCGATCGATCCGCTCTCTGAAGAGTTCTCTGTTGCGCTCAGCGAAGACGAAGAAGACCAGGATGAAGGCAAGGAGGATAAAGACAAGGAAGCACAAGCAGAGGAAGAGGAGGAAGAGAAGGAGAAAGCAGAGGAAGAGCAAGCAGAGGCAGAGGAGAAGGAAAGGCAAGCAGAGGAGCAAGAGGATCAGGAAGAAGCTGATACTGATGCGTCTCCTTCCTCTGCACGTCATGACGGCGCAGCGGACGGCAGCACAGCTGACGAGGCAACAGCAGAGCCAGAGCAGAAGGCGGAAGCGTCCGCAAGCGCTGCACACACGGCAGAGACAAAGGCGGACAATGAAGAGGAAGAAGAAGAAGAGGAGGAAGAAGGAGCAGCACCAAGTGGTGTCGATGCCAAGGCAGAGGCTGCTTCCGCCCACGATGATGATGAAGAGCCAGAAGGAGAAGAGGTGGAGGAGGGCACTGAACAACCACCAGCCACTGAAGCCGGGAAGGATGCGCCTGTGGCGCAGCCGCAAGACGAGCAAGCGGAGAAATCCCAGCAGGAGGAGAAGGAGGATGAGGCTGTGGCGTCACCGGCACCAAAGCCCATGCGACCAGCACCGCCGCCGCCGCCAACCACCGCCGCCGAGGAGAAGGAGGACGAGGAAGAGGAAGCAGAGAAGGAGGGAGAGGACAAGGAACAAGAGAAGGAACAAGAGAAGGAGGAAGGCGAAGAAGAAGAAGCAGAGGAAAAGGAGGAAGAGGAGAAGGAAGAGGACAAGAAGAGTCACGGTGAGCCTGAAACCCCTGTCGTAGATGTGTTTGCCGACGATGAGGAACCACAGCCCGAGACGGTGAAGACCAGTGAGGAGGAGGAAGAAGGCAAAGAGGATGAAGAAGAGGAAGATCAAGGGGAGAAGGAGGGCAATAAGAAGAAGGAGGGAGAGACGAACAAGAGCACGGAGCCGAGGGCAGGCGACGACAGTGACAATGACGACGTGGACGATGCAGATGCCGCGCCAGATGGGTACGAGAGCGACGTGTCTGTTGCGGAGGTGCTGAAGAAGGTTGAGGACTCCACAGCATCGCTTGGGGAGCACGTCAAGGCCGATGAGGAGGCGGAAGCAGAGGCAAAGAACGAGGAGAAGGAAGGCGAAGTTGTGGCGGGGAGCGAAGAGGAAGAGGAGACGGCAGCAACGGAAGAAAAGGAGGAGAAGCACGGTGGTGCGGAAGGCGACAAGGCAAGCGAGGGCAAGGAGACGGACGACGACGATTGGAGCGATGATGAGGATTCAGAAGCGGCACAGACCAAGGCAGACGCAGCAGAACAAGAGAAGCAACAGGAAGAGGAGAAGGAAGAGGAGAAGGAACAAGTTGTCAGTAATGATGACGGTGCTGATAGTGGTGCTGGTGCTGCGACGGCTGACGAAGACAAGGAGGAAGAAGAAGGGGAGGGAAGCAGTGAAGCCACAGCAGCCCGTGCGAAATCTGATGCAGAGGCACTGAGCCAAGCCAAGGCCGGTGAAGATGGCAGTGATGAGCAGCCTGCGGCGGCCGTGTCCTCATTGAAGAACAGCACGACAGCTGGCATCACCTCACCCCCACAGCGGCCCAAGCGCCGTGTTGTGAAGCTGCCGCCTGCCCGTGCACTCACAGAGACCGGCGATGTCAGGTACGAACTCATGTCGATTGCCGACACTTGTGCAGTTGTGATGGCGGTACTGGGGGCGTGTGCTCGTTGGCAGCTGCACGTTCGTCCATGCAGTTTTTGTATTCCATTTTGGCGAGCTTCACCTTTGCATCAGCTGCTCATCTTTGTACACCAGTCAATCTTCACCGTCAACATGCTCACTGTGCCATCTCCCGACCACCACCGCACTCACCTTCACCAACACCATCATCACCACCATCACCACCACCACCACCACACATCAGGTCGTCGCTGAAAGGCAGCCGTCCCGCCGAGAAGAAACCGCGCACACGCGTTGGATTCCAGACAACCGTGAGCGTGCGCCGTTACACGCCCATGGAAGGCGAACACGACGGGTGAGATGGCGGCACGTGCCTGTGATTCTTTGTTTGTTCGTAAATGTATGTGTGTGTGTGTGTGTGAAAGTGCGTATGTATGTGGGTGAAAGTGCGTATGTATGTGTGTGAGAGAGTGTGCGCGTGCTGTCCATGAGCAAGTTCTTCCGCAAACTCAAACACACACACACACGCACACATGCTTACTTCCATCAACGCTCACCTCTTCCTCCACCTCCAATGCAGGGCCATGCTGCATCCGAACCTGGATCGGCTTGACGATGACGACGACGATGATGACGATGAGAGCGACACGGACAGCGAGGACGACAGCAAGACGAGGAGCAGCGGCAGTGGCAGTGGCAGCGGTCCAATCCACACCAGGGCTGCCGGCGGGCGGGCGCGTGGCCCGAAGGCAGCCCCTGCGCCCTCGCCGCTTCGCCCCGACAAGTTCAACCTGGCGCTGTTTGACTCTGCCCTCGACGGCTTTGACAAGGCCATGGCGGAGATGGAGGGCAACGAAAGCAGCAGCAAAGACAAGAGCAGCATCAGCAGCAAAGCGGCCACGAGTACCGGCAGCGGCAAGGGCGATGGCGAGGCAAAGGACAACAAGGCCACTAGTGCCAATACGGGCAGCGCGAGCACGGCAGCGGGCCGTCATCGGCGGCGCCTG